GGGAAAGAGAACAGGGAAGAACAAGGTGCCTTGGACTCGGGGGCAAGTTGTGCTGATAACCTGGGATGTGGGGCCAGCTGTGCCTCTCCCTGCAGCTGGGAGCAGAGGGCAGCTCTCTGCTGGCAGCAGCCGAACTCCTGTGTGCCCAGAGCTCTCCTGCCATGTTGCAGAGAAGCTTTTCCATCCCCTTTTCTTCCCCACTGCCTTTTCAGATGGCCCCAGCTCCCTGCCAGCCCTACATCCATCTCATCCCCTCCCTCTGTACCCGTAAGACACATGCCTGATCTCTTGTTGCACCGTGGAAGCTGCATCTAGCCAGCTCACAGCAGCCAGTCCTGCAAGGCTTTCTATCCAGAGGGTGTAGAAAACGTTCTGTCCTGCTTTTGTGGACCAGGGAAGCAAGATTTCAGTGCTGCCTTCTAAACATTTGATAGTTTTCCACCTATTTTCAACTCAGTATGAAGCAAAGCCTCATAAAACTTGCAGGTGAGCCCAAACCCAGGCTTACCCAGGGGTGATTTGGGCTGCCTAGCCATCACCTCTTCACCTTTGCCCAAAAAACAGTTGTTTGAAGGTGCAACCTATCTGTCCACCCTTGCAGAAACAGATTGAGGTGTCATTCCCAACCAGGCAGTTTGTCTCACAGCGCTCTACGTTAACTCCACAAAGTCTGCGCTGGGATATTGCATCTGCATCCAGTATTCACCTTTAAACTGGGACACCAGTGGCAGGGAATGCAAAAGAATTGGTCAGCTGGTGTTCAGAAGGTTCAAGGACTTGTTTTGCCCAGGTTGAGCTTGGACCTGTGTGGCTCTCTTGCAAAATGAAGAGATGTTTGGGCTTTCAGAATATTTTCCTGGGCACTGGGTCTTGCTGGGTGTGTTCTGCCCCAAAGAAGAAATAACAAGTAGTAATGTCTGGAAGATCAAGCCAGAAAATCTTTAAATTTAGAAGTTGGAGGCATGTTGTAAGAGAGAGGGTGAGTAACCATTGAGACAAGCCAGCAGGGGAAGTGGCAAGTCCTCTGTCTCCTCATGTCTTTAAATCAAGACAGAGCCCCTTTCTGGATGAGCTGTTTTGGCTCCCATTCCCAGGAGTAATGAAGTGCTGTTTAACGACCTATGATAGATGGGAGGCTGGATTAGATCATCTCATGATCCCTTTATAGCCCAAAACTCTATGGAGACTTTATAAATTGCTCTTCAAACCACCACCCCTAGCTCTATTATTGGCAAAACAGACTCAAAGAAGATCCCTCCAGCCTCCATTTTGGAGGGTTTGGCTGTACCATGGATTTTAGCTGCGCTGATGTGCCTCAGGAGCATCCACCTCCCTTAAACTTGCTGTCAAATCTCAGATTGGATGGTGTAGGAGAAGCTTCAGTGTGGTTTGAAAAGCCTTGTAGATGGACAGTGGGATGAGTACCACGTGCCTGTGAGGGCAGAGCATCCCAAAGGATTGCTCCAGAAAGGGTTTGCCATGTTGCTGCCCTTCAGTGCCATTTGATGCTGGCTGTGTAGGAAGGGAATGTCCATAGCCCTGAGCCATATTTTTGATGTAGAAACTAAGATACTGAATTGAAATTGAGTTTTTCCTCCTCCCCAACCAGCTGCTAAAGCCACCTGGGTTACCCCACACATTCCTGACCCCTCCTGCAATGGGATACCTGGCTTTAGTACAGTTTGTGTCTGGAGGCTGTATAAGGGGAGGTGTTAATTTAACGAGCACACCGTGTGGTCACAGAGACACCAACCCAGGGCAGAGGGCAGCAGGCAGGGATGGTCCCATCAGCAGTTCCAGGGCTCTGCTCACACCCACACGGATTATTTGCTGGTAGCAGTGGCTTCCCCCAGGCCCTGCCTAGGTTCAGAGGCAGCACAGCCCATCCTCTCCCTCTCCTCCCACTCCTTCTCCCAGAAGTGCAAATATTTGGCAAATAACACTGTCCTCCAGGCCCTGGATATCTCATTGGCTGCTCCAGATCAGAGCATCCCATGGAGGCCTCCTCCACACCCCTGTCTGAGGAGGCATCCGGAGCCTGGAAGAGCCAATATCTGGTGTATTTATCCCTAATCTCAGACCTCACAGCGTTAAATAAAGGATGTGGTGGGGAAGAAAGGCACGTAGGCTGCACTTTGCAACTGTCAGTCCTGAGCTCCCTGCTCCAACAGGAGGAAGAAGTGACGTTTTTCTCCTGGTTGGCTGAAAATGCAAAGCAAAGCAAAGGTCTTGCTGCCTGTGGACAGTCCAGGGGAATCTTGAGCTCTGCTGCTGCTGCTGCAGAGGACTCGGGTACAAAGCACAGGTACCACCCTCATGGCTGCTGCCTCTGCTTGGAAAAAATTAAAAGAAGGGCAGGAAAAGGTGCTGCAGTTTTGCAGGCAGATGTTTGTGTCTGATCTCTGTGGAGTTAATGGAAGTAATAATCCCATGTCCCTGAAACTCCAAGCAAAAACCTTTCCCTCTGCCCTTTATTCCCAGTTGGTCACTTGCTATAGATGACTCAGTGTCCCCCAAAGAAATGGGGTGCTCCCTTTCCTTTGGGAGGCATGGAAAGCTGGGGAAGGGATCACAAAATCCTGGAGGGATGGGCTGAATTCAGGGAGGGGTGGCGGCGCGTGCGCCCGCACCCTCTGCAGCGGCAGGCGGGCTGGTGAGATGCTGTGTGGTCCCTTCTCCAGACCAACCATCTGCCAGACATTCCTCTGGAGTCGCAGCTCTTGACATGAGATGGATGCAGCCCTGGGTCCAACGGGGAGGAACCCTTGCCAGGACCTAGGGTCTCCTTACGACAGCTGCGCCACGTCCAACTGGGATCCATCTGGCCCAGGATCCTGGCTTTGAAAGGAAACCATGGAGGAGCAGACGGAGCTCACACGCTTCAGGACCACATGTGCTCGAGCCATTCCCTCTAACCTCCAGGGAGGGTTTTTTTTCTGGTCTCCCTGTATAGCTCAGCACCATCTCTTGGAGCATCCGTGCTCCAATGGCACGGAGCTGCACAGATCCATGGCCAGGTGGTCGCTTCCTCCCCACAGCTGGTCCAGATGCCACCACAGCATCCACGGATGCTTGGGCTTGTTCTGCCTGACACCTTCCCTCTGGTGGCTTCAGCACATGGGGGCTGGACACCCCAGCAGCCACCAGAGCTCTGTCAGATGCTTCTTCCTGAGCTGGGAGAGTTTTTCCCCTTGTACACAGGCCCCAGCTCTGCCCCATCTGTGTTTCATAACCGGTTTCCCAGCCGCCGGGATCCCTGCGGATCAGGCTGGTTTCATCCTGTTTTCTCTATTGTTCCTGCATCTTCTGCTCGTGTTTCTGCTTGGGGTCGTTGGCCAAGGGATGTGACCCCAGCCTCCTTCTTCCTGCCTGCTACAGTTTTATCCCTGGCTCTGCAGGCAGGTTCCCTTCCAGACATTATCTCTAGAGGGGGGCAGATGGCTCCCCAATAAATCCAGGGCTCAGGAGCTGATTTATGATTTCTCTCTGCAGCATTAAACTGCATTTTTACCCATTCCTCAACTTTTCAGGCCCGTAACATTTTTGGTGGGGGTGTGGTTTGAAGCCAAAAGGACAGGGATGTATTTATACATCCTATTTTTACAACTCACCCGTTGCAGCCTTGCAGGACCAGAAAGTCCCTGAGAGCTCAGTGTGAAACAGCTGGGCTTTGAGACAACCCCCCCAGAATATTTTTGGAGAAGTGAAATTACAGGCAAGGGGGTTTCCCATCTGAAACAACACTCAAGGCTGGCTGGGGAAAATATTCCTACAGCTCTCCAAGCCCTGCAGACACACACCTTTTTTAAGTCCAGGGCCAACTCTTTCACCTCTTT